CAAAGGGTCTGAATACTTAGGACCATGTGATATTTCAGTTTTTCTTTTTTAATAAATCTGCAAAAATGTCAACAATTCTGTGTTTTTCTGTCAATATGGGGTGCTGTGTGTACATTAATGAGGAAAAAAAATTAACTTAAATGATTTTAGCAAATGGCTGCAATATAACAAAGAGTGAAAAATTGAAGGGGGTCTGAATACTTTCCGTACCCACTGTATATATATATATATATATTTACATACATACATATACAGTATAGTCAAGGTAACATTTCTCATTTTCTTTTAAAGTTGTCTAAATAAATATTTACTAGAAATGTACTAAAAATATACTACATTTACTAAAACTTTTAAATAAAATAAAAAGTCTAAATATTAAGAAAAATATAATAGTATCTTGTAACATGGGTTACAATATGTTAGGTGGACTGACTAACTAACTTACTAACTACAATAAACTAATAAATAGGTTATTTTTTAATTGCCATGTTTTTTATTTCACACGCACATCGGTAGGGCTTATGAAATCTTATCTAGTTCCATAAATGCAAAAGAGCAGTAAAAAAAAAAGCAGCTCAAGTAAGAATTCTGACGTGGCCGTTCCTTCCACATCCGACATAACTTAAGAAGTGAAAGTGGATAGAAGTCAGAGGTGATATTTCAGGTCATCACATTTATTGCCAGTAAGTCCTGCTAGACTGATGGTTATTACTACTGATAGACCTCTTCGGAAATATGCATACACTCTAAAAAATGCTGGGTTGAATATGGACAAACCCAGCGATTGGGTTGTTTTCGACCAACAGTTGGGTTAAATGTTTAACCTGACCTTCTGGGCAGTAACCCAACCGCTGGGTTTGTCCATATTTTACGCAGTGCTGGGTTGTATTTAACCCAGCATTTTTTAGAGTGTAACCAGGCGTCCTGTTGAGTGGCCTAATCTTGATATGCAAAACCCTTCAATTGCCCTCCTCCTGAAAGAAAAGACTTCACAGCTGCATAGCTTCCTCTTTTTCAACTTTTTAAAATCATGCTGTGCTTGTATTGCACAACTGTAGACACCTCTTTGCCCTCGCAGTTATATATTTACACTGACTGTTCATCTGTGAATGTTGAACAATGAATGCATAAATTACAAATCCCAAACAATCTCCATTCTATGAGAGCACAGCGCCTTACTGAAAGGAATGCTTATTGTTTGCAGAATGACAATATAGTAGACATTTATTCAAGATGGTTGTTTTGTTAAGGTTATGGAGGGATACAGGTGCTTAGTTGGCGGCCTGTTCTAACAGAGACCAATGTGTGTGGTGAATCTATGATGAAGGTCACAGAACAGGTACATTACTGATTCATTATTTGGTGATTAAACATTGAGGCTTTAGCCTTAAGAAGTAACAGTTGTGAGAGAGTGGGGTGTGGCAAGTGTGCGAGAATTTTACGCAAACAATGTTTAGCAAACACCTAAAGCGATATCAGATTTTCACATTAAAGGAACGCGTTCAAGCGTGTGTGACTCACAAAATGATTGAATAATGAGTCACAAATTGTGACTTGAGTGACTCGGTTATAAACTGACCAAATTTACTAGGGGTGCAGAAATAAAACCGCTGGAGTTTCGTCTCGTGGAGGATTTTTCTAATCAACTTTCTACTATTTTACTATTATGACATATGAGGACAGTTAGGCAATCATACATCAGCAAACAATCACACCTCCTTAAGTACACAGTGTGCACTGCATGGTGCTTTCTTCAGAATTCACTGTTGGCCAGCAGCTGTGTCTGTGCAGATACACACAGCTCCACTTATCATGCGCCTAAAGAACCTGCCTGTTCCTGTACATAGCAAATATATCTTTGAGATGCACTGTTAGAATCAATCACTTTATTGCCTCTTGAAGTGCATGCTGAGCTTAGTTATAGCAATACTGCTTAAATGTAATTTTATTGGAGAAGAATGTGAACATACTGCAGTAAAATTCTGTCAGCTGTGAAAAAACGGTAACACTTTAAAATGAAGTTCAGTTCATTAACTTTCATTAGAAATCATGACCTAACAATGCTTCTTTACTGATTAATCAATGCAACTGTTCATTGTTAAGTCACATTTGTTCATAATACATTAATGTTATTAATTTAACAAAATTAATGTTATTTCAACTTGAAATGTATCAAATTAACATTATACCAAATTAATAAAAGCTTTAAAAATTACAAAAACGTATTGCTCATTGTTAGTTCATGTTAGCTATTATAGTTAATAAACTTAAATTGGATAGAGAAAAATAAGTAATGTAAATAAGTAATTTGATAACATATTTTGATTTGTGATAAAAAAAAATTGTTTTCCACATGCCCTTGTGCAATGCATCACAATTGATAATATTTTATTTGCATTCTGGTGTTTATTTTTATTTTTGTTATTATACGTACACATCCTTTCAAAAGTTTGGGGTGTAAGAATCCACCCGCCAGCCCAAAAAGCAGAATCCAGCGGCCTGGTCGTCTTTTACTTGCGCTTCTGAATTTATCAGGATTTAGTTTAAATTTTAGTCTAGCTCCGTGTTCAATCTGACTCCAATTTCAAGTGATCATTAAATTTAGGAGATATTTCTAATTAAAAAACTGATCACAGATATCGATTGTATATTCATTTAGATATTTGAGATTCTGGAAACCCCATACTTTCAATTATTCGTTCATTAGGGACCAGGTATCGCACAGGAATTGCACTCGGCTGATAGTGAACCCACGGACACAAACTCGTCAGTTCTGAACTTACTCAGAGGATGCAGAGTGGTTATAATATAATAAGTGAGCTACACCATGCATGCTCATAACAAAAAGTGTATTTTGTCCTATAACCACGAGAGCTACCCCGTGTTAAGCCAGTGAGTCAGAAATCAGAAGCCCTAATGGTGTCCCCCATGGTTCATCCACTGGTGCTTCTGTATGATCTGTCCTGAACGCAGATTTGCGGAAATACCACTACACAGTAATCTACTTGAAAAATGATTTCAGAAGAGATCAGAATAAATCAAATATAACCATTTATTATTTGTCAGGTAAAATAAACATGAAGGGGAAAAACAACAGGTTCACAAGATACATGATATGAGGAATATGCATATTCTTAATGAACTTTGAGTGAAACCTTTTGGAGGAAAAGAGGGAGAGGCAGAGAGGGCAGTGGGAGAAGGGGGTTGTAAATGAGCAAGGAGAGAGGTCAGGGGCCAGTTCGATTTTTTATTTTATTTTTAATAATACTTTTATTCAGCAAGGACACTTTACATTGATCAAAAGTGACCTGAAAGACATTTATAATGTTTTCTATTTCAAATAAATGTTTTTCTTTTAAAAAGAATACTGAAAAAAAATTATCAAAGCTTCCACAACAATATTAAGCAGCACAACTGTTTTCAACATTGATAATAAGAATTGTTTCTTGGACAGCAAATCAGCGTATTAGAATGATTTCTGAAGGATCATGACAATGAAGACTGAAGTAATGATGCTGAAAATTCAGCTTTGCATCACAAGACTGAATTAAATTTTAAATGATATAAAAACAGTTATTTTCAATTGTAATACCATTTCAGAATATTACCGTCTTTACTGTATTTTTGGATTAAATAAATCCAGCCTTAGTGAGCATGAGACCAAACTGTTTTTAAATTCTTATACCGACCCCAAACTTTTAAATGGCTGTATACATTGGGGTGCTTATATTACATGTTAATGTAATTAATTCATTTATTTACAGCATTATTTTAGTGTTTTGTGTGAATATGTGCCCCAGCAGAGATGTAGACATTATATAAGTTATACAAGTTAATGATATTTGCCAGGGGTGGCCAGCATCAGCCTGGAGAGACACAGTCCTGCAGAGTTTGATAAAAAATCACCTGCCTGTTGCTTTCTAGTAACCCTTAGACCTTGATTAGCTTTTTCAGATGTGTTTGATTGATTGGAGCTGAAGTCTGCAGAACTGTAGCTCTCCAGGACTGACATTGGTTGCCCCTGATATATGCTGTTATGAACTGTAAAATATACCGCCTCCAAGAATGTCTGAAACACGACATTGTTTTACATTAATGACAACCACAGCTGTTAGTTATTAACCATAAATGCATCAATAGGGAGAGGCTTGAAGCAGATGATGGATGGTATTGTTCAGACAATGAATTATACAGCTGTCCAGAAAACATCACTCCTGTCTTCTTCCTTGGATATCACATGGAGTTTCAGTGTAGTGTCAGTGTAGTTTTTATGAAATGTGATACGGATCATGTGACATATGAGGACACAAGCAAGTGGATATTTCATAAAAACGGTAATTTAACGTAGTTATATCTGACCAGCTGCTTTATTTGAATAGATTAGGAAGTGGGATTTGTATAATTATATCTGCAAATAAGCTGATTTCAGTGTTACTCAGGCTTACCAGATCCACACTATTCACTAATGGCTGAAATTGTTCAAGAAAGCAAGAGTTTGAGTGATTGTTCTCTTACAGCTTTGTACAGAGATTACACAATATAAAAAAGACGAAAGGTCCCGATAAAAGAGGTATCTATAGAGTGACTGAAACTTTCAACACTTTCAGCCACACCTTGTTTAACTTGGCACAAAAAAGAAATCCGTACGTCTCAAAGGATTTTTTTTTTTTTGTATGATTGTCATGAGGTGTGCTCATATCTGCTGTGTTTTTTTGCACAGCACTGTCAGAGGCGTCCGCATCCAAGCCGTACCAGGGAGTGAGAGTCAAAGACCCTGTGAAGGAGCTGCTGCGGAGAAAAAGAGGAAATGCTGCCAGAACGACACCCCCCACCGCAGTAGGAACTACAGCACACGTGTGCATGCATACGCACTCAATAAAACACGCTTTTGATTGTGAAAACTGTCCTTTAACATTATCTCATTTGTTATTCATTCAAGTTCTAGCTTTTTTTTTTTTTTTTTTTTTTTCTTTATCTAATCCATCCAATGCACAATGCTGATATCCAAATATGGGACTGAAAAAGATTACTTATGAAAAAAAGAGGACCTCGGGCTTTAAAGATGGCTAATTGTTTGGTTGGTGTCATTTAAGGAACAGTTTACCCCAAAAAAATGTTGCTCCAAACCTGTAGGAGATTCTTTCTTCTGTGGAACACAAAAGAATAAACTTTGAAGAATGTTGAATGACCATACAAGTTTTGGTTGCCATTCACTTGCACTGTATGGACAAAAAAAATATCTTCCTCAAAATATCTTCTTTTACATTCCACAGAAGACAAAGTAATACAGGTTTAGAATGACAAGAGGTTGAGTAAATTATGACAGAAATTTCATTTTTGGGTAAACTATCCTTTTAATTGCTATTGTTAATATGACAAACACAAGTCTTACTAACACTTACTAATAATTGGCTGAATAACGGAGCCCAGGAGGATTGAAAATTCTCAAATTGATTATAGGTTTGCGAAATATTGCAAAATATTGCATGGACTTGTTGAGGTGCATGAGCTCAATTTAAAAGTCATAGCAACTCTGTTTAAATGTCATTTTAAAGGAAGATAATATTAAAATTCCACAATAAAATCCTGTTAAAGGGATAGTTTAGCCAAAAAAGAACATTCTGTCATTAATTACTCACCCTCATATCGTTCCAAATCCGTAAGACCTTGGTTCATCTTCGGAACACAAATTAAGATATTTTTGATGAAATCCAAGAGCACTTTTTCTATGGGCCTTGAACATGTCAGTTCTGTTGCGGTCTATGCAGGGTCAGAAAGCTCTCAGATTTCATTAAAAAATATCTTCATTTGTGTTCCAAAGATGAACAAAGGTCTTACGTCATGAGGGTGAGTAATTAATGACAGAATTTTCATTTTTGGGTGAACTATCCCTTTAATTGGCCGACTCTAACTTGAATCTACAGTTCATTAACATTATTTACTGCATTAGGAAGCATAACCTAACAATGTTTCTTTACATATTTATTAATCTATTGGGCATTAAGCATATTTGTACAGAAAATATTAATGGTTTTTATCTTGAAATGTTAAAAATGTATCAGTGTATATAGAAATGGACATTTACAGATTAGTTGTGAAAGAAAAGAGGAGCTTGGGGGTTTAAACTTCTCTAATTGTTTAGTTAGTGTCACTTGACTGGAATTGTTCATAATATGAGGTCAGTTCAGGGCACTAAAAACTGGCTGAATATCAGACCCCCCAGAAAAAAAAAGTTTTTTTCAGGATTGCAAAATTGCACAATCAATGTCAGCTTGAATATTGCTAGCCATTACTGAGTGCGGAAAGGCATACTCTCCAAACTCCAAGGGGATTTTGGTCTTATATAATCCAGGTGTTTTTCCGTGACAGTTAAACTATTCCCCTACATAGCCAGAGGGGTTGGGCATAGGGCCTATGCAAATCCGTTTGTGGATCTGCCAAGAGGCTTGCCTACCAACCTTCTAATTATACTTGACAACACATGAAAACAAACACACACACACACTCAGCAGCCTCTTTCTCACATTAAAATCACATAAAAATGGGTTGAACTCTGTTAAATGCAAACTGTAGAAAAGCATGAGATCTTATGAAGCCACTTTATGGCTCTTCTAATGTCATCCTGATTGTTTACAGATGCTCTTTAAGTTATTCTGCAGAAGCTGATGACACTTGAGTTAGTTATTGCTTCCCAAGTGGCATTATGGCAATAAGTGAAACCACACACAAGCACTAAACCTGCTCTTATCTGTGTCTGTCACATTAGGGCTAGCTAAATGATCTGTAAGCCCCCCC